AAAAAAAAAAAAATTTTTTTCTTTTTTTCTTTTGTTAGGTTTTATTGTGAGAAAATATTTTGTACGTGATTTGACGTTTTCACATTTATCTATCCATCTATATATATAATAAACTCAATATAATAATAATAATAATAATAATAATGATAACATTTCCCAGAAAGTTTTCCTTTCATTTATTATTATTATTATCGATCGTATTAATCAATACGACTAAAGTTTTTTTTTTTTAAATTTGTTTATTAATTTTATTAAAAAAAAAAAACGACGAAAAAAATTTTTTTTTTCACTCGAAAAGGAAGAAAATAATAATCATAATAATAATGATGATGATGATGATGATAATTTAATAAAATGAAAAACAAAAAAACAATTTTTTTTTTTGACACTCCTCGTTTATAAAAAAAGAAAAGTTAATTAAATTTAAAAAATTTGGAACGATTTCGGCTTGGAGTCGAAGAAGAAAAAAAAAAAAATTAAGTTGGCTAACCTGCAAACGGCATCAACTTGTTTTTTAGAATTTGGTATTCCTGTCGTACCATTTTTAGATGTGAGCGGTGGTAATTGTTCCAAACACGAATCCAAATAACCTCTATCTTTACATATTTCATCGTAAGCAGAAGACAAAACAAAACCTGGAAAAAAAAAATAGAGAGAGTGAGTGAGAGAGAGAGAGAGAGAGAGAGAGAGGGAAAATGAAAAGTTTACGTCACGTCGAGTAAAAAAAAAATAAAAAAAATAAAAAAATTTTTTTTTTTCTTTGCATGAGTGACGCGACACACGTTTCGCGTGCATGACGAAATTTTCTTTTTTTCTTCTGCTGTGTGCCATTTTCCACCTCCCCTCCCTCCCTACCCCCTCTCGACTTCATTTCTCTTACAAAATATGATTCCGTTTCGAAAATAAAATGAAATCTCATATATTTTTCCGCTTCTTTTTCATTTTTTCTTTTTTCTTTTTTGCATTTTCCCTTTCTTCGAATCCTTCATCATCATTATCATCATCATCATCATCATCGTGAATGAAAATAATTAATTTACTCATAACAATTAAAATGACAAAAAGCTCCTTTTTCCCTTTTTTTCGCGTTTCCATTATATTATTATTATTATTTTATTTTATAAAAATGAAATGAAAAGAGTAAATTTGGGGCAAATCGATAAAAAAGGTTTTCATTCTTTTTTTTTTTTTTTCTAAAACAAAACAATAGGGAAACCTTTTTTATTTCAAATAAATAAATAAAATAATAATAATAATAATAACTAAAAAACACGTGCTCGTGCACGCGTGTATAAGAAAAAAAAATTAAACAAATTAATAGGGGAGGGGGGAAACAAAAATAAATAAGAATTTTTGTAAAAGTTTTTCTTTTTTTTTTTTGTTTTAAAAGCTGGATTTAAGTGGATTATTGTTATCATTATTATTATTATTATTTTTATTCTCTTATCTGTCACTGATAAGGATTAAAATAAATTATTATCATTATTATCATTTAAATAAAAATGCAAATTTAATAAAAATCCGTTAAAATTTTTTCTTTTGCCAAATTTAAAAAAGAAAAAAGAAAATTTTTTTTTTTAATCGTAATCGACGACGAATGAATCAATGAATGAATGAATTAGTCAGTGAGTCAATTAGTCAATAAATCAATCAATCGTTGAATGAATGATTGTAATAAAAGAGAAAAATATGAATTTTTCACAACGCCATTTTTTAACTAAAAAAAAAAAAAAGAAAAAAATTTTTTTTTTGTTTTTAACATCAAAAAAAAAATTTTTTCTTTTTACACGCGCACCCACCCACCCACATACACACACGCAAAACATTATTAATAATTTATTGTTAAATTTTAATATTAAAAAAGTTTAATAATAATAATAATAATTTTTCTTTTGTTTTCAAAAAGTTTAAAAAATTTAACGTTTAGAAGGGAAAAAAAAAAATTTTTTCTTTTCTTCGAAAAAATTAAATTATAACTCAAATCAAATTTTTTAATATTTCAACACGTAAACAACAAGGCAGAGGGGGAGAGGAGGAAAAACGTGGCACGAACTAAATTTAATTGATTAATGACACGACAAAAAAAAAAAAAAATTAATTAAACGAATTTGTTTATTTTTTTTATTTTTTT